CTTCAGACAGTTTTTATTCAACCAATGAGTGGTACGACTTTGGAACTCGCTATGAAGCGAGACGGTTACCGTTGACGCCATTTGCTGGGAGTGCGCTGCACAATTATTCATATGAAAACCCGACTGAGTAATCCTTCGTAATCGGAAACACACTTCAATATTTCGGGTGAAATTTCTTGAGACCGATCACCGACTGTAGGCCGTGGATAAGGGAAAAACAAGCGTCGCTAACAACTGGCTTAAGCATGAGAAGGCTTTCAGGAGGCACAAATTTTGGCGCACTTTAATACCCGGCCAGACAGGTAGGTAATAGACCGTGTGGAAAATACGCAGGGGTTGAGGAAAATGATAGCCGTTTTTTGGAAAAATAAGTATTTTATGGACAAAACGCAAAACCTTTGACATAGAGGCATCAACAGCGTACAAGTGGAACAATTTAGCTGCAGTACACAAAGTTCAGACGAAGATGGACAGTCGCAAAATGTGTGGACAAAATGTCCGCATAAAAGTGTTATATCACAGGAAACAGACACAATTTTATGACGGAGGTATCACCCTAAAAATATAGCGGCAGCCGTGAGCACGTCCGTACGACAAACTAGGGTGAGAGAACAAAGCCATAAAAATGCAAAAAACTAGGATCAAAAGGCAAGGCTGACAAGAACTCCGAGGGGTCTCAGGCGCCGTTACACCTTCACCAGTAAAACGCAAAACGCACAAGACCACATTAAAAAGTCGCATTTCAATGACCACAGCCAAGCGCTGTGAATCGGGAAGCGAAAGACATGACGGAGCCAGGCGGGGTGGAGCGGAAGAGGTGAGAAAAGAAATATCACAATATGCTGAGGGGAGAACAAGACGTGTTTTTTTTTGCGAACGAATAGTTGGTGATAGTTGATTGGTCGCAAAACAGCGCAGACGGAATGTGGGTGAGATGGAATGTAGAGTAGACGGAAGTCAAGAAAACAGTATACCATTTAGATGAGAGATGACTTTGGGCAGGGGGCAGTCAGTTTCTAGAATTGCCACATAACTGAGGTTCGGATGCCTTCATGGATGGGGACAGAGACAAGGACAGACGAGATTGGGGATAACTGCGCGGTTCCAGAGGAGGAGGAGGAGAACGGCTGTGGATTACAACACCACACACTGACTTCAAGCACACTGAGTGTCCGAAAATCAACCGTTCTACGAGCTGGCGATCAATGTTTGCAGTCGGTATATCAGATCTCTTGCAAACGGCAGCAGTTTGGATGCCTCATGATGCTCAGCACGTTCTAAAACGAGAGTAAATGGTGAATAAGAAGCGAAAATCGGACACCCTCGAACTATGGTAACATATTTCAATTACCAAGTGACACTGATCTGGATGCCAAGTGGGAAGATCTCTTTAAAAATGACACTAAGAAGAAATTTCAGAGAACATGGTTGCCAGCGGAAAAAGGAATTGTTCCACACAAATCAACGTTCTTTCCTTTTCTATCTCCGAGAGTCAACCGTGGAAACAGTGAAACTCTTTGCCAATGTGTGTTATGCATGCTCCAATTGTGAGTGTGTTCAAGAGATGTCTGGATAATCATCTGCTAACAATCAACCTGAACCTCGAATACCTTTCATAAAGGATTACTGAGACAACTACGAACACACTACTCCCATGAATTCAATAGATCGTTTGCTCACATTAAATGTGGCTCAGACGAAACCTCAGTTTAAATGCAGTGAACGCGTTGTATGCTGTTACAGAAGTCGCCGGCTATTAAGCCCACCTCGGGACCAGACCAAATTGGACTTAATAAGCGGCTGGGCTTATTAACCATGGGCTTAATACAGTAGTCGCCGTTTATTAAGCCCACTTCGGGCCCAAACCAAATTGGGCTTAATAGGCGGCTGGGCTTATTAACCGTGGGCTTAATAGCCTGCGACTACTGTATTTCGCAAATGCTTCACCTTTTCTGGCCGTCTACAGTTCATAATTATTCTTACGCATTTTGCATACTAATACGATCTGCAAAATCTTTTGCAACTTTAAATGGGCTTTTTAACGGCTACTGTCAGTTACTCCAAATATGCTGACGGAAAAAAGAGTGTGAACCTTGCTTTCCAAAGTGACCGTTTTGAGAAGGAAGACGCCAAAAAACAAAATGAAACATCACCTTTGCTGTCATGCATCACATACAAAAGAGCGTTTGAAATAAAGACCTAATACGGCCTAGTCTGATGAGTTAGAAATGCAAACCCAGGGAAAGGTAAGCTGCCAGATCCCAAAGTGGATAGGGTCATTTGAAATGCCCATCGGAGATCCCAAAAATTCCAAAATCAAAAAAAACAAAGATCGCCTTTGCAACAAAAATAGCTAGCAATTAAAGGCTCAGCAGTGGGTGGGAAACTAGAGTTCGGATTGGGGGAGGGTGGTTAGCTCACACCAGTCAGACAATCGCCATTACCAGCCAGAATTCGAAGGTGAATTGCGTCTCATGCAGAGGAAAAAAATGTCCATTAAACAATAAACAGGGAATAAAAGCACAATTCTCATAAATGCCGGCGAGTTGTCACAATAATTCCATAAGTATGTCCTTATAATATTACCAATAACTTAATCCACTATCACACACTTGTAATTCGAACACACCGTAAACCCAACACTAATCCCAGGGCGTAGGTCCTCTCTAGCTCAAGTCGTAATCGTAGCCACAGATAACAAAATACTAACTACTATAAATAAACAAGTAGCAAATAATAATAGTTAGTAAGTGGTATAGAAGGCTGATTCCAGCCAGAAGTGAAGGGGAACAAACCAAAAGCCCAAGCTAAATGAACGTGAACTTATTTCCGAGAGGAGGTTTTATGTGTGGAAAGACAAAACAGCAGTATTTTCGACATTTGGCGAGAATGAGGCTCGGAACCATTCCTCACTAGATATAACGCAACACAGACAATGGGCAGAAAGACGCAACCAATCGTAGCTGAAAGCCAAGTCAACGTTCAGTAAAGACGCAAGATATCATTTGGCCCAATTAAACCTGTGATTGATACCATTGGGATCCAGAAGAAGAGACGAGCACTGAAATACTCCCTGGAAGTTGCCTGTTCACTTCTACTACTGTCGCGATTGAGAGAGAATACGAGGGTATTGGACATTACTCTATGTTCTATGTACGCATACAAGACATAGGTACTGCAAAGAAGAAGGCAGTCGAATAAATGAACACTAGTCAGTTCGCTAAGCTTGTTTATGGGCTCCAATATATCCATCAACTTGAGCGAAGCCAAAAAGGCAATATTAATCGTGAAAGGCCTCGAGATTTCTTCCCCTAGACTTGGACAGTGACCAACAGAGCTCACGAACGAAGCTATAATGACGTAAGAATGGCGCGCATCGAAACTTTCCCTCCACACGAAGAGCAAATAATAAAGAACATATGCTCTAAGCCGTACAAAAGCTGAATTGCGCGAAAATGTAGACCATATGGTAAATCTCATTTTGTTCTTATAGTCGCTAGTCTTTTAGCCTGCGCATTCCTTTAAACGACAGCATCGTTTTGGTTCTGCTTGTAATTCCATTTTAAAAGATTCATAATAAGAATGCCTGTGTGTTCCGAGCCACGGTCCAACCGTTTTCAAAGTGTGTTTTAAAGAAATTACTTGTGATAATGTTGTTAACTAAAAACAGTTGAAAAGCCGTTGCAAAGTTGTTGGCGCGAAACAATTTTGCCCCATACGCTTGCTTTACATTCGTGTTTGGAAAACTAAACGCTGTAAGATACTTTTCCATGATAGAAAGAACAGGTGAACTCACCGTTGTAGAATCGTATAATGTCAGTATAATCCCCACAGTAGAAGAGAATAATATCGCGGTAGCACTGAATGAGAGCGAAGGCCAGAAAAACGCCAAAATCATGAGTGACCAGTCGACGCGCGGTCCAAATAGTTTCCCAAACACGGAAAACGTCTTCGTACTTGAGTTCTGCAGAAGATAGCACAAGGACGAAATACGCCAGAAATCAAACAGGGGCTCGAATGAGACATCAAAGGGAACAGGGAGTATAAACGCGAAACATGGAGCAAAATACAACAAAAAGGAAGATCGCAAAATAGTGGTAGAAGTTTAATTTTAAAGTGCACATACAGAGTTGGTGAGAGGTTGTCAAAACCAACGCCTGTGATACCTGAGGGCAGGTGCGCAGGTGTCAGATCGTAGCTCTGACACGACAATTTATGCGCAAAACAAAGAGGCACGAAGAAATGCAGGGCTGGTGTTGGCAGCTACTAGCACTGTGGTGTTGACAAGGGGTTGAGCGTTAGTAAGTGCTGCCAGCAAAGACAAGGCAGATTGGATAATGGCTTTTGGAGTCAGGCTTAACTGCTTCTTAAAGGTTCTTCACATGCATGTGAGATCTGAGCCGCCTTTTAGCGAAATCCCAGTAAAGTTATGCGGAGACCAGGGCTTGTGTGTGGCACGCGTAGACAAACCTTTTTTGGCTTTGTTACCCACTGCACCCGAGTCCGCCTTCGGTAACCATGACCCTGTCTTATCGACGGGCCCAGATATGTGAGGGAGAAGGGGACGCGGCGGATACTGTCCAACACATCAACTGATATGCAGGAATGCACGCGTGACTCACGATGTTAAACCCATCACGTTATGGGCCAAGTGGTAGACATTGTTGTTTATTGCTATGGTTGAACTGACGTAATCTATAT